GATGTTAGAGAGAGTGACACCATCAGCTTTGGCATGGACAAACAGAGCCCCTGCGTTGTTACAGTTGATGAAGAAGGACCGAGTGTTATCTTCGTCGTGTTGAACAGCAGCGAGGCTGCCTGCAAGTGGTGGAAAGAAGTCGAGTGTGCAATAAGGGAAGTTTTGAGATTTTGAATGTGTAAGTGTATGCATTTTGTGATTTTCTTTTGGCTTCTCTTGACAATTTTGCAATAGGACAATCATTGTATTTTCCCAAGCTCTAGTTTAGATTAAGAATTACATCTCTATGTGTTCTTATCTGGCTACATTATGATGGACAACAATCACTTATTTAATATAGGTTATTAAGACTTTCCTCATGCATGAACGTGATCCCAATGGTCCATGTATGTATTTGCTAAACTTGCTGCATCAAATATGTACCTCATCATCCTGTACTTCAAAATGTGTCTACTCTCTCTGAATTATGTCAGGGATTAGTTGAAACGAAAAGGTCACAAAAATATCATTTGATTGATAGGTTGATCCGTCTTGTGCTAACTCTCCCTGTTTCTACAACAACTACTGAACGAGCTTTTTCAGCTATGAAACTTGTTAAAATAGCTCTTCGCAACAAGATGGAGAATGAGTTTCTAGCATATTCTATGATTGTCTACATTGAAAAAGAATTTGCTGACAACATCGATTCAGATGCAATAATAAAATATTTCAACTCCCTCAAGAATCACAGGGCACAACTTCAATAAGTACACTTTTAATTATTGTTGAACATATGATTTAATGTATACTTTTAGCGTGGTTTATGTGATTTAATGTATACTTTTAACGTGGTTTATATGATTTAATGTATACTTTATTTTAGCTAGCCCACTCATCGAAAAATTCCTGACTCCGCTCTTGCTTTGAACTTGTTGTAGGTTATAAAAATAAAATAAAAGTTGATGGGGGTTGTATTGTATAGTGTAGGCTTCATCATTTGGCCTGCGGGCTCATGGGTCGATGGGGGCCCGCCCTGCTCGACCTGTTATGGGCTTTGGGCTGGGCTAGGCTTGGGCCTGGATGTCTAAAGCCCAACCCAACCCAACCCAACCCATAGGCCCGACCCGATTAAGCCCAAGAAATACTGGCCTGTTAGGCCCGCATACATATATAATTATGTATAAATAAGGGTTTAGGATTAGGATTATATCACTTGCATCACAAACCCCCCTCTTTCATTTTTGTGTGTGTTACTTGTTTGAAACATTGTGTTTGTTTCCATTGAATTCTGCTCATTTTCGTATCCATTTTTTACATTTGATCAGCGTTGTGTTCTTCATTTTCTGTGCTGAATCCAACCATATAAAGAACACAAAATTTGCATAAATTGTTGAAAAGTTATAGGTCAAAAACTGGACAGATATCGAAATTGAAAAACAGAGGAAGTTCATAAATCATCTCTACCTAAAACGTGATAAACTGGTGCTACCATGGTGATACAGTGCGATACAGTGGTGATAGAAATTGATGTTTGTGTTTATTTTGGGTTTCTTATTTTGTTTCATTTCATTTACTTTTCTTTACTCATTCCTAGTTTATAATTGGATGATTAGCACATTAATTTGTGTCAATTATTAATACAACAATTATATATATCAAGAATAAGACGAACAACATATCATATCATCAAACATAATCATATCACCAAACATAATCATACCACCAAATATAATCATGCTTTTCTTCAATCCATCACCAAGCATTTGCATATTTATTCATATCATCCTTTAAAAAAAATAGTTTTTTGATACTTATTATTTTTTAAAATTATTTCTTAAAACGTGTTACGGTCTAATTATGATGCAGCTGAGTGCCTCTTTTTGAATGGCATGTTATTTCTTTCTCCTTTTCTTCTTCTTCTTTTCGAATGAAGTAGGCCCATTTCGGCATGTCCCGACCCGATGGGCTTTCTCAAGCCCGGCTCATGAGTCGGGCCTGAGCTTTGAATTTTTTAAAAAAATCCAGGCCAATTTGACCCGTTATTTTCTCTCTCTTCTTTCAAGTCCGGCCCAACTCAGCCAAGCCCATTAAATTTGGGCAAGGCTAGCTCGACCTGGCCCATTGACGAGCCTTAGTATCGTGTTCTGTCAGATGAGATGAGTGGAGGAGGAGACTGGAGGGTGTGGCCCGTGGTCCTCAGCTGAATGGTGGTAAATGCCACGTGATAAAAACACCATGGTCATTTTACTCTCTCTCATCACGAGTTTGGAGTGGACGGGCATGAGTACATTCTGTACGTGTTCTCATATAATTGGCTCAAATCTCAAGTCCCACGTGCCCCGTCGTTTAGATCACGTGGTCTGTGATCAGTGGTCTCTCTCTCTCTCTCTCTCTCTCAAACAACTTACAAGTGATATGCTTTTGCCAACCCTAAAGCCTTATGCTTACCCAGAAACAACCATCAATCAAATTACTATATCTACCGTACGATTTTAAATTTACTGTCTCAATATTCTCTTCAACTTGCAATTTCTTCCACTTGATATATATATGTCAATTTCACACACCTCATTAAATGGAGCAAGGCTTGTGTTGTTTTGATTAGTGGTGGGATTATTTTATTTGATAGCCAAGATGGTTTCATTTATCTGCATTTGCACCTGCACCTCTTTTGGTCTTTACTGGTTTTCTCATGCACTGATGAACTCAGAGATCCATGTATAGGTGCAAGTGTAAGTGCAGACAAATGCCTTCTTGGTTTTTTCTCAGCTCTAAAGGTATTCGAAGGATAAAACATTCCACTTTTGGGCTATCATCTGTGCTCCATATCTATCTAAGGTAAGAAATTGATACTTAATAGCTCTGTCCTCAATCTTGATTCCGTTCTTGCTGTTTTTGGGTGCTTCTAATATCCATTTGTTGTCATTAAGAAAGAGTAAAGATAATCTTTCCATTGAGATTGTTTGTGTATCTGATGAAATGTTTTTTTCTCTTTTTTCTTTTCCTTTCCTGAATGTTCTCAATCTGCTGTTTCTAGTTTGCTGCATGCCTAGAGATTCATATGTCATGCTGTCTGTTGGTCTTTTTGAAACTTGTCCTTATAACAGATGTTTATACAAAATGATGGAAGTTTGAAGTTGTGGCTGTTTCTTTGATCGATCGTGTATAGTATAGTGTGAGTTGTGTTCTTCTATATCCGTACCAGTTTGGTAGGTTAAGCTTTAAACTTACAATCTTTATTATGCAGTTTCAATTTTACGAGCAAAAACATTTATGAATGTATTTTCAAGATGCTTGTGCTTCCTTTTCTGCAGTCATTAGGTTGTTACAATCTTTATTATGCAGTTTCAATTTTACGAGCAAAAACATTTATTAATGTATTTTCAAGATGCTTGTGCTTCCTTTTCTGCAGTCATTAGGTTGAGGATCACTGAACTACATGAAGCCACAAACACTTAAAATCTGACATTTGATGCCCCAAAAAAGAAAGAAAGAAAAAAAGTCTATGACATTTGAACTAAAATTGGTAAAATATCTCACATATAGACAAATATCAAGATCTTGTCAACAAATCTTTATTGGCGGTTTGCAACATATATATAATTGCTACAAATACGGTAACAATAAACAAAAACCACAAACAAGCTTCTCCAACAAGAAGAAAAGGAGAAGAAGAGTTGCATATAAAGATGGATTGGTTTCAATTGCCTTAGGGTATACATGACTTGTGCTTCTCTTTTTCTTTTCTTTCTTCTTTCCTGCTAAAGTACATGATGATTTGTGCTTCATGGTGAAAGTTAATTCTGGTTAATTTGTTAGGTTTCTGTCTTTTGGACTTTTTACTTGTTTTAGCTGACTTTTTCGATTAATATTGTGGTTTGAGTGTTAGTTTCTAATAACTCTCCTTTGGTGGTAACAAAATGATCTTACACACCAAAAAAGAAGCAATTAAAAACACACAACAGGAAAAAGACAATGACAGGAATTAAAGATACAGAGCTGACAGATGTTGGTTATGTTATGCCCAATGGGGGAGGGTCCTGGTGATGGTGTCCTTTGTTGCCCATGATTTCATATTCATGTAACTTTTTAATTAATAGAAAAAAGAATTAGGCGAGATTAGCTCATCAGGTATCGGTTATCAGATATATTCATATAACCAGTAATACAGTGAATTACTGGTCAATCAATTTATTATTTGATTTGAAAAATGGGATACTTCAATTATACAAGGCCCTGCTGCTGTCCATTTATTTTGTATGACATAATATAATATCTTAATTTGATCCCATTTGCATGATAATTAATGCATGTATTCTCAAGAGCTACTTACTAGAATTCTCAAAGTCATTCATACTTCGTGTGTAAATTATAATTTGACACATATAACTCATTAAAAACATCAATTAAAGAGTTTCTACACACATGAACGTGATGGGCAGATAATTATAGTAGAGAATGGTGTACCATTTCACAAAAAAGGTATTCTACACGGAGTGTATATATACATTATGGTTCCATCCAACAAGAATTCACGCATTCAATATGAATGAATAACTTGATATTGATCTATACTATAATAGAGAATGGTGTACCATTTCACATGTAACGGCGTATTGATCTATACTCCAGTAGAGAATTGTGAACCATTTCACATGTAATGTAATGTAATGTGAACTCGCATTGTAGAGATAGAAACACTACTTGGCTTCTCCTTACATACCAATCACAATTTGACACATATGCAAAAGTAGCTCCTTAAAATTACAAAAAGAAAAATTTATGCATAGATGGCAGACTGTGATTGATTTGTAAGGAGGAATAACTCTTTTCACGCGGAGAACCAAGTATTTTCCGTAAAGAAATCTCATAAATATTATTGGGCCTGAAAACTGGGCTTTCATCCCTCTTAAACACAAGCAAATCTCTTATATCATCCGGGCCTGCAAATTGGGCTCTTATAGGTCACGATGCGACCGACAAGTCGTCCAGATAAACTTCGAAACGGCACCGCGTATTACATCCCCTCTTTTACTTTCTAGGGTTTCCAGTGAAGCCAAACGAAATCCCAACTCGCAGTCACAGAAGCTAAACTTCGGAGCCAAGAAAAATGGGAGGCAAGTGCCCACACAGAAGCGTCAAGAAAAGGAGATACTCTCACAAGACCCACCGCCGCGCCAAATTTCTCGTCAAAGATATCCTTTTGTTTTATCACTCAATTATTATTTTTCCTTTTATTTGCATTTTCAATTTGTGAATTGTGAATTGGTACCTTGACTGAGAATTTGATCACGTGATGATATGGTGTATGATGGTCTGAATAAGGCAGATGAGCAGACGAAGCCATTGCCTCCTGATCAAGATCTCCCTGGGATGGGTCAATTCTACTGCCTTCACTGCGAGTAAGCTTTTCTATTCTTTTTTTGATGAAATGGGGAGGAAAACCGCAAGAACAGCTTTTCTATTCTTTTGCCTTTTGATTTTCAATGTAAAATTTTATCTGTCTGTTTGGTTGCTGAGAGCAGAATAGCAAAAAAAGACCCAGCTTTGAAATTCATATCCAATACTAGTTTTTATTAGCTGGGTTGGTAAAGTAAGTAACTTGATGTTGAAATTGCAGCCGATACTTCAATAATGCAGCGGTGAGGGATGACCATTTCAAGACAAAGCGTCACAGGAGGCGTGTAAAGCTGCTGATGGAAGCACCACATACCCAGCTGGATGCTGATTTAGCTGCTGGGATGGGTATGCCCGATAATGGTCCCAAGCTTATGTCTTTCTGAGCTTTCTTATTTTTGCTTTTATATTCCTTGTAGTTGAAGATACATGATACATGCTGATGTTGTAAGAATGGTCTCTCTCTATAAGAAATAGTTGTTACTTGTTTGTGAAGTACAAGTGCATGATTTTTCACCAGTTTACATCTTGGTTTTATTTCTGGTGTTTTTTATTTTTATTTTTTATGGTCTCTCTGGTTGTTTTTGGTTACCAACTAGAGGGCCTCTTAGTCTAGTGATACTTGCAAGACCCTAAGTTCGAATTCCCCTCTCCTTATATAAAAAGTTTGTTCTCGGTTATCTTCTTTTCGCGGATGTGCATCATTAGTCTAATGCCTGACATAGGATAGTTATGTTTAACTGCAAGTAACTGCACATGCGTACTTGTAATTTTGGGTCTGCATTGGCACAAAGTTCACTCATTTGGTTGCAAATGGGATCAAAAGTCTCATATAGTATTTTCTTGAGGATTACAGTGCAAGGTATTTACATTTGGGGGATGATTTTGGCATTCCAAATCTCAACACCCTCACTCCTCTACCACTCACTAATGAAGAGTGCATGACGTAATTTGAGGGTGATTTTGGCACTCCAAAATCATCGCCTTTTACATTTTTCAGCAAATAGGGAAGTAGCCTTAGGCTCATAACCCCACCCTCAGTGCAGACCAAATCCTTGAACTCCTTATTTGCTAGAAGCTTTAAAGGGAGATTGAAAGTATTTGGTTTTTATGTTCTCTGGTTGTAGTTGCTATAATTTCGAGCATTTTGTCGATTCCGAAGTCCATGAATGCCCCATTCAGATATGGAGTAATATAACCCTTACCTCATTAAGATGGAAACAAATCCATCCAATTTTATACTTCACAGGCCTCCTTATATCTTGTCTTGTCTTGCATCAGTATTGTGCTGCGGACTCTCAAGTTTCTATTGCCTCTGTCTGCAATTAGGCAATATAATGGCTATAGCTATTTCTTCAATTAAGATTCCCTACTTCCCTATGATTATATGCAAAGTATTTGTCCATTGTTGGCCGTTATGAAATTATCCTAATGTGCGTTACAAAATGGAGTTTGCATTTGACAGAAATCATCTTTTTCCCATTTTAGTTTCCATCCGAATTATCAGTGTTCTGAGATCTGAGATGCAATTTCTCAAATGCGTTCCATCTCTATGGCCGCCTCTTGCCTAATGGGTTAGCCCAAAAGTGTATAAATAATAATATCTCAAAGAAAAATGCCAAAACATCTGCTTCTCTATGCAGAAAATCTGCAAGCCAACAACAACATAGGCCACTTGAATACACTGCTTCGGAATTGTTTTATTCACCATATATGAATATTTCAACAATAAAAAAGTGATCTGTCAATACATAAAGTGTTAGACGAGTTGCTTTAATCAGTCCCAACCACTAAGACCTGCGAGGTTAATTATATCAACTGCATCCAATGTCTTTGTCCGACCAGCTCCAACAGCAAATGATGACTTCTTTTATTTTTTTTTTCTCTAAACTCTCACACTATACGGATGCTAGGACTCGAATCCAGACAACAAGCATTAGTGGGTCTTTTGCGCAAATGATGACTTTAAGAATTCTTATCTGCAAGCCAACAACAACATAGGCCACTTGAATACACTGCTTCGGAATTGTTTTATTCACCATATATGAATATTTCAACAGTAAAAAAGTGATCTGTCAATACATAAAGTGTTAGACGAGTTGCTTTAATCAGTCCCAACCACTAAGACCTGCGAGGTTGATTATATCAACTGCATCCAATGTTTTTGTCCGACCAGCTCCAACAGCAAATGATGACTTCTTTTATTTTTTTTTTCTCTAAACTCTCACACTATATGGATGCTAGGACTCGAATCCAGACAACAAGCATTAGTGCGTCCTTTGCGCAAATGATGACTTTAAGAATTCTTAAACACAACATATTTAAAAGTAGCTTGACATTATTATGGCTAAGTTGTTTTTGTGAATCCCAGACAACAAGCATGGGCTGATTATCGTACTAGGCTAGCTCCTCTAGTCAACCAGAATTTTTATTTTTATTTTTTCATTTTCAGAGCAAGATAGAGTAATTGAATTTTAACTGCCGTGAGCAGCCCATTGACAGAAAAACTTTTTTTTGCTAAAAAATGAAATCAGTACACTAGGGTTTAATTCAAATGCTCTGTCCAGTGTCCATAGTCGCACTTGCACCCTTTGTGTGTGTCCTTTCAGTCTGAACCCTTTTCAGAAATGGAGAACAGCCTATTTTTGTGTTCCAGCTTGAAGAGGATAATCATAAGCTTCAGGCATTTCTGTCTCTTCCATTTGTTTCTCACCTTCTCCATTTCTGTTGCAGACAAGGAATATGAACTTTTCTATGAGTAATAGCAGTCTGTTATTGTTCCCACTATCCCAAAAAGAGAGGATGCAAACAAAATGATTCAGGTCAATAAATAAAGCAACGAAGACTTTAGACTCCAAAACAAATAGAAGGGGTCACAATATGGGCCACTGCCATCAATCTCTTCTGTGGAGTAATTTTTCGACGTTATTGTATTGGTGTTATCAATCCATCCACGTTACCCTAAAATATAAACCCGTTACGCATTCATATCCTTATTTTCTTTGGGACAAAGAGATTAGGTGTGTCCACTCCCACACATATCGCCCATAAATCAAAACACCAAAATCTTTCTATGATCCTGTCATTTTCCAATGCCATATCCTCTTTCTCTCAAAGGCTTGTCCACTACCAGCCACTGTTTTGAAGTATTAATTTTCCCTCCACCTCTTGGGTCTTTGGCTATTTCCCCATCTTTATTCAGTTTTCCCTCCATTGATGTTGTCTTTAAACTCATGCACATGATGGGCAACCACCATGTGAATGAGCTCTCAATAATGCTGTCCCCCACAAGCTCTATCAAATATGCATGCATGCCCTGTTGAGATCAAGACTGGACTATTTCACAAAGCTGTTGGACCAATCATGTTCAGGGTTTGGATAGTGACATGTAATATATAATCAAAAGCCTAACATGCCATTCATCCTAAGGTCTACATCCTGAGGCCATCATACCCATTTTCTGTGCGATCAGTGTCGGAGAGTGATGGAATTCTAACACACTTTATCCTTCAGACATGCTCAAATTGCAAGGCTGCTGATCATTGTTGTGACTTGTGTGAATAACAATTGGCTTTCGGGCAATATTGAATTTGGCAATTAAAGCTTGCACACATGTGGGTTTCTAGGCCAAGTTTTCATCATGTTCCAAGAGATATAAGATTGGCATCAATGTTGCCAGGGCCCAACATCTTTCACCGGTCATTGGACTGTAAGGGCTTATAGCTTAAGTACTTCAAAGCACTTAACCGCTTCATCCGAGATCCATAGTTCGATTTTCCCCTCCTCGAATTTCCCTTGGATAAAAAATTAAATATAAAAAAATACATTGATCGGACCAGGTACTTTATGCCTATATATGTACCTATCGAGTCTTTTCACCTAAAAGCTTAACCCTTGAGAATAATGGTAAATCAATTATCACAGAGGAATTTCACTTTTTAAATCGTTTGGACCACAACAGTTGTCTAACACCATCACTTGTTTGAAACATTGGGTAACCATGTTATGATTATTTCTTAAGAGCACAAGTGAAAATGCACAAGAGTGTAAGTTATCTATTTCAATCTTGAGGGAAGTATTTGTCATTATCATTTTCTTCAAAGATTCATAGGGTAGAATATATATATGGTAAAAATAGGGGGAGTAAAAGAAAGAAAGATAATACATATACTATACCAAAACAGAAAAACAAAAACAAAAACCCAAAAAATCAGATGGGGTATATGGGGATATACTCCTCTTTACTGGTGTGTGGCTTCACCTTACTTGCCTTCTCTATCTTCATCTTCTCTGGGTTTTACTGAAGAACTTGAACCTGATGCCATTCCAATGGCCTGGGTGTGTGTGAACCGTTGTAGCTGTATCATGCGAGCGTAACACCCATCTGGGTAATTTTTCAATAGATGGGAGTGAGATCCTTGCTCTGCCACTTTCCCATCATCAATCACTGCAATGACATGGGCATTCCTGATAGTTGATAGTCTGTGTGCAACCACAATTGTGGTTTTCCCTGAGCAAGCACGATCCAGAGCCTCTTGAATAGATCTCTCAGACTCAGCATCAAGTGCACTTGTTGCCTCATCAAGAAGCATAAGCTCAGCCTTCCTCAATAAGGCCCTGGCAATAGCAACTCTTTGTTTCTGTCCTCCAGATAGTTGAACTCCTCTCTCCCCAACAAATGTTTTGTACCCTTCCGGCAATGCAGATATGAACTTGTGAGCATTGGCCATATTTGCAGCTTCAATGATCTCAGCCTCAGTTGCTGACTCGTGCCCATAAGCAATGTTTTCATATATGGTTGTAGCAAAGAGGCATGGCTCCTGAGGAACCACGGCTATGTGCCTCCTTAGGGACTTGAGATTGTATTTTCGAATGTCCTTTCCATCAACCATAACTCGTCCTGATGTCGGGTCATAGAACCGCTGTATCAGTGCAATGACTGAGCTCTTGCCACACCCACTAGGACCAACAAGGGCAAGAGTTTTGCCTGCTCGGGCACGGAGGGAGAGGTCACGGAAAACAGGGACATCCGGGCGAGTAGGGTAAGAAAAGTCTACATGCTTGAGTTCAACTTCTCCACGCAAACGATCAGGGACAACAGTAGCATCTGGATCATCAGGTTCAATTTCAGTTTTGCGGTCAAGGAGGTCAAAGACTGATCGCATTGCTCGACCACCTTTAATAAAGTCAGGTGCTAGTGTTAGTGTTTCTGCTGCCCCATTAGCAGACACCATCAGGACCATGAAAACTCGGATTGTCTTTGAGAAATCAGAGATTCCGTGCTTTACAAGCCAGGAAGCATACCAAAGACCTAGAGCATAGGAACCGTAAAGTGCAAACTGAGCTATCCCAAAACCACTGCCAGCAATCTGGCCCTTCCAAAAGCACCGGCGTAGGGGAATCTGGAGGTTGCTGGAGAAAAGACCAACAATTTTTCCCTCTGAATTGAATGCAGCAACAGTCCTTACATTGGCTATGGCCTCCCCAGCCAGTTGGGTGGCCTTGGCATGTGCA